AGGCAAATCGGGCCTTGCATAGTAGGCTGACAAGTGCGTTCTGGCTACTAGGTACGACATATATATATATATATATATATATATATATATATATATATATATATATATATATATATATATATATATATATATATATATATATATATAGCTTCACCTGTGTACGAAGATCGCAACACGCTCATATATTGGTCAATAACATCCAACGACAGAGAGAGAGAGAACACTGAGACCAGCATCAGGTAGAGATGTTATCTCTCACTCCAACACATCTCCCCTCCCTCCCCCCCCCCTCGTCAACACGGCCGCCTCCTTCATCCTCTACACAATCACACTCCAAGTGAAGTGCAATTTTTACATGCAAATGACATCAATATGTCCGATGCTTTACGCTGGACAGCAGTAAAATTGGTCTATGGGAGCTAGAGAGTTGTTGTGGGTTGCATCCTGGAGGAGGTCGGTTGTTGGCCTAGTTCAGGGGATGGGTGGGGGGGGGGGGGCATTTTTGAGAGTGTGGGTCCAGATTGGTAATAATCATCTACAACATGATCATGTGTGGCCACGGGAATTTGGAGCTGCAGATTTTAATTTATTATTATTTGTATTTTCCTTTTTTTCTGTATTGAGAAAGAACAGAATGGTTACCTTACCTTGAGGTTACCTTGAGGTGCTTCCGGGGCTTAGCGTCCCCGCGGCCCGGTCGTCGACCAGACCTCCTGGTTGCTGGACTGATCAACCAGGCTGTTGGACGCGGCTGCTCGCAGCCTGACTTATGAGTTACAGCCTGCTTGATCAGGTATCCTTTGGAGGTGCTTATCCAGTTCTCTGGTGGAAAGCATTCATGGAGAAATCTGTTTACGCAACCAATAATTCTTCAGAATTGTTTTAAATGGAACAGGTTTTGGAATGATATACATTAATAATAAATTATTATTCACAAGAAGCAGAATTAACGAATTATTAACAATAACAAGGCGTAATAATTTTTTAATTTGGGTAGGGGGGTTGTTTAGAATCAAGGGACAGCGCTGAATGCCACGTGTCAGGAAAATTTGCTCGCATGCCACCCTTAACACGCATGCGATAGGTTTGCCACCCACTGGCCTTGGAGGGACCTTACACTTGGTACCTGTGTTCACCTAGCAGTAACTTCACCTTACCCGTGGAGTTAGGCAACTGTTGTGGGTAACATCCTTGCATCACACGCAGGCATTATCCCTGGTCTTATTAGACTAGCGGAGAGGTTTGCCAGACCAGACAATCAACCATTCGTCAAGGAACTCAACGCACTGTACCTAGCCAACGGCCCGGACCCCATCATCGCCCCGGATGTAAGTCTCACTGCCTCCACTTCCACTTTGCAGACTACCACTAGGACGACCACGAGGTCGATCTCATCACAGATCCAGAACCCCCCCTCCAAGACCGGGCCGCACAAACAGAGGTATTGCCCTCTCCAGCTATGAACACAGCCAGGAGCTCAATTCACCACGGCGTACCAGGTTCTTTAACTACTCGACCAACCGTGACTGTACAAAAGACGTTGGTAGCCGAGGCTATTTTCCCAACATCCCGACAGCACTTGGTGGTAAGCTTGGGCATAGATATTTCATCGAATCACCTCACTTTGTGGGGCCACGTGAGCAACACAATGAAGCTTTAAACTTTAAAACTGTAAATTAACCATTGTTGTCAACATGATTGCTCATTTAACGACTCATACTTGGAATTAACAAACTTTTTACATGCTGAGTGGATCAACATGTATACCTGGCACAATACCCCAACTCATACACACATGAATAAAAACAAAAACAAAGTGACAACATTCCCGTGCGTTCTGGGGCCTTGTCAGGCAGCAATTGACAGATGCAGATTGATTGATGAAGATTAAGCCACCCAAAAGGTGGCACGGGCATGAATAGCTCGTAAGTGGTGGCCCTTTTGAGCCATTACCAGTATCAATATATGATACTGGAGATCTGTGGAGGTGCAACTGCACCCTACGTGACGGGAGATGTCTCCCGTCGACAGATACAGTTTTTGATTCAGCTACTCAGAACAAAAGTTCCAAGTAGCACGGGCTATGGTGAGCCCGTAGTGGACTTACCTGGCACAGGAGCGGGGCTGTAACTGGTGGGGACACACACAGATACAGGTTGTTGTTGTTGTTAAAGATTTAGCTATTCAGGACGGAGTGTCCATGTAGCACGGGCTATGGTGAGCCCGTAATCACACAGATGCAGATTGATTGATTGATGAAGATTAAGCCACCCAAGAGGTGGCACGGGCATGAATAGCCCGTACGTGGTGGCCCTTTTGAGCCATTACCAGTATCAAGAGCTGATACTGGAGATCTGTGGAGGCGCGACTGCACCCTGCGTGAAGGGAGATGTCTCCCGGACCAAGTGGTGACCAGATGGAGACAGATACAGATAAAGATTAGGCCACCTAAGAGGTGGCACGGGCATGAATAGCCCGTAAGTGGTACATTTTTTTCTCAGTATTCTGAGGTTGCATTTAACCATCAAGCTGTTATCGCGGGGGAGGATACTGCTTCACAGTCTTTATGAGGGTGTCCAGCTGCTGGACACCTTTGTTGACCAGGAGAGTGGCTGTGTTGATGGCTTCAGGGTGGCCACTGCATGATTCAGGAACTCTTAAAGCTCTTCTAAGGTCATTGGTTGCTTCACATTCCAGAAGATAGTGAAGTAATGGCTTTTCTGTGACAGTTTGGCAGAAGATGCACTCTCTCTCTCGGGGTTCACCAATCTCCCAGTTGCATCTGTAACCTAGACGTAGTCTATATAGCCTAACTGCTATTTCCCTGTGAATTCCTTTTGGGATATTTAACCTTTCTAATTTGGTTGCCTGAAGATACCATGTTGCAGATGGCGAACCTTCAGCTATTCTCTGGTGAAGGTAGGCTTTGTTGAGATGTGAGAGTTTTTTGGTGATGATGTTTTTTATGTTCTCTAGGCTGGGTTGAATTGATTTATGTATCACTGGATGACGAGTTGCCAATTTAGCAATTTCATCAGCTTTTTCATTTAATGGGATTCCAGTATGGGATGGGATCCAGTTTAAAGTTATGTTGAGTCCTTTGCCTTTAGCGACTGCTCCTTGATACAAAATGGTGGTAATTATTTCCACATTATCTTTCCACTGTTTTTGTCCTAGTATTTGAAGTGCAGCTTTTGAGTCTGTGTGTATGATTGCATTTTGAGTGTTTTGTGCAATCACATATGCGAATGCCTGTTGTATGGCAAACAGCTCAGTTTGGGTTGATGATACTAGTCCTCCCAGTCTCCAATATGCCTGAACGCTGGTCGTGCAAAGAGCAGCGCCAGCACTCTCATTTTCTGTGTCCACCGATCCGTCTGTGAAGATGTGGGTGGCTCCTGCTACTGCTATGCTATACATTTGCTCTTCTATTATGCGCCTTAGGATTGTCGGATCATAGGCAGCCTTTTTCATTGGGAGACTTTCTATTACTATTTTGAAAGTAGGCTCTTCCCACGGCGCGGAAGGAGACAGATACAGGGAGGAGAAGCACTTATATGGCCAGAGAATGGGTGAAGTGGGAGGACAGGTGAGGAGTAAGTAAACCATGATACAAATAAACAAATCCATAAGGGCGTGATGAGGGTTCGAACCTAGGTCCGGGGTATCACGCTATTGTGATTTCTGTGTGTCTGATAACAATATATTTCATTTGTGTGGGCTATTTATTTTCAACCAATTTATTTTGACTTATTCTCTGCATTTGGTATAATATTTAACCAAAAAAATCTTGTGTATTCCTCTCATGGAGTGAGACTTTTAAGATATTCGAAATTGGATGGAGTTGAATTACAGTTCCTTGGCCCCGGCACCTCTTCTACTCACCCCCTAGCCTCCTCACTAAGTCATCTTGATAACTCTAACCTATCCTCCAGCCTAATACCTATTTAAATAATATGTTACACCCGATATATATATATATATGTATATATATATATATATATATATATATATATATATATATATATATATATATATATATATATATATATATTCCGATCAAAATGATCCACCTCCGCCACTCAGACTCAATCTTGGTTCATCAAGTTCTTCACAGTGTGAATCTGTATGGCGATAATGATCTCGAGGATGCACCGTGAAGTTAAGGACTTACATTTCTGCCCGTTCCGGCCCCTCATTCTCCTGTTTTTCACCCACGTAGTAGTGAGAGGAGGAGGAGGAGGAGGGGGGAACAGATGAGATATAGAGCGGGGTTGTAAATACCCTCTGATGTGTACCTTCCTAAACCTGGATATCATTACTGTCAGAGAGAGAGAGGCTCACGCCCAAGATTATGCATTCCCGCGCGCGGGGAAGGTTTGTTTCCTCTGCCCTTCCAGAGGGCGCTGTGGCCGATCCGTCTGGCCGGCCACGCACTGATATGATAATCGGAATTTATGAATAACTGCACATGTCTGACATATACACCTTGCAGACGTCGCTGGATCTTAGGAATAACTATGCTAAGGTCTTGAAATGTTCTTCCTTCCAGATATGTTGGTCTTTGTGAATAACTGCATGTCTGACATGTTCATCTTTCGAACATGCTTTTCTTTATGAATAACTACATATGTCTTTACATATTCACCTTCCACACATGCTTGATCTTAGGAATAACTACATATGTCTTTACATATATACCTTCCAGACATCTAGCCTTTATGAATAACCGCATATGTCTTTACATATTCAGACATATACCGGGTCCTGTGAATGACTGCTCCGTGTCTTAGCCACGGCTGTTTAAGATTCATGCCGTAAAGATAACTTCAGAGAGAACAAGAAGACGCCCACGATTTAGAAAAACTCAATGTGGGTGTGGGCGTGTGGGCGTGGGCGCGGGGTCCACCCTGACCTTTTAACAAGACACGTCGAGCGAAAAATTGTCTTAACCAATTTTGCTGTTTACCAGGATAAACACGCTACAGCAGTGCACTGCTTCATGTTAGTGTCTGCTTGATGCTCGGGGTGTCTGCTTGGGCACTGCTTGAGGCTGGAGTATCTGCTTGGGCACTGCTTGAGGCTGGAGTGTCTGCTTGGGCACTGCTTGAGGCTGGAGTGTCTGCTTGAGCACTGCTTGAGGTTGAAGTGTCTGCTTGGGCACTGCTTGAGGCTGGAGTATCTGCTTGGGCACTGCTTGAGGCTGGAGTGTCTGCTTGAGCACTGCTTGAGGTTGAAGTGTCTGCTTGGGCACTGCTTGAGGCTGGAGTATCTGCTTGGGCACTGCTTGAGGCTGGAGTATCTGCTTGGGCACTGCTTGAGGCTGGAGTATCTGCTTGGGCACTGCTTGAGGCTGGAGTGTCTGCTTGAGCACTGCTTGAGGTTGAAGTGTCTGCTTGGGCACTGCTTGAGGCTGGAGTATCTGCTTGGGCACTGCTTGAGGCTGGAGTGTCTGCTTGAGCACTGCTTGAGGTTGAAGTGTCTGCTTGGGCACTGCTTGAGGCTGGAGTATCTGCTTGGGCACTGCTTGAGGCTGGAGTATCTGCTTGGGCACTGCTTGAGGCTGGAGTATCTACTTGGGCACTGCTTGAGGCTGGAGTATCTGCTTGGGCACCGCTTGAGGCTGGGGTGTATGCTTGGACACTGCTTGAGGCTGGAGTATCTGCTTGGGCACTGCTTGAGGCTGGAGTGTCTGCTTGGGCACTGCTTGAGGCTGGAGTGTCTGCTTGAGCACTGCTTGAGGTTGAAGTGTCTGCTTGGGCACTGCTTGAGGCTGGAGTATCTGCTTGGGCACTGCTTGAGGCTGGAGTATCTGCTTGGGCACTGCTTGAGGCTGGAGTATCTGCTTGGGCACCGCTTGAGGCTGGGGTGTATGCTTGGACACTGCTTGAGGCTGGAATGTCTGCTTGGACACTGCTTGAGGCTGGAGTATCTGCTTGGGCACTTCCAGTAGACTCAGTCATTATTGGTCGGACAGTTTAGAATTATCGATGATGCTGAAAATGATAATTCTGATGCACGAAAACTTACCAAATGGTCGGAAGTTAGGACACACAGCAAAAACCTTCCCGCTTTTACTCCATAGTTATTAAACATGCAAATAATTCAGTCAGGAAACAGGCAGCTTACTCAGGGCTTAACATTGACACCTCAATTGTCAACTGAGACTGTTCGTCTCTGCTGTGGTAGATGGGCCAGACGTTGGGGCTGGCGACATATATGCGGCATGCTCGTGTGGTCCAGTTGCCAGCCATAGTTCTCTTGATCCGTCCCCCTGACTGGCAGGGGAGTGGGTGGAGAAAGGTCGTGTGGATGAACATTGGCCCGGTTCTGATGATCTGATTTGTTCTTCATGATGTCAGAGAGGTTCCACTGTGTGATGGAAGCCCAGTAGCAACAGCCTCGAGTGACTACGGGCTCACCATAGCCCGTGCTACTTGGAACTTTTTTGTTCTGGGTAGCGAATCTTTAACAACAACAACAACAACAGCCTCGAGTGAGTGGGTGAACGTCTCTTTCGACGTCGTGAAGCGATGTTGAACCACCTAATGTTGACGTACACCACATGAGCACGTCGACGCACGTCCTCAGAGTAGTAAACACACTGTGACCGTACCTGTCTAAGAGCTCCTGTCTCCTGTCTGTACCTGTCTAAGAGCTAAGTACCTGTATAAGAGGCTGTACCTGTGTTGAACTCACTGATGGCTACCATTCTCTGTATTCATACACCGTATTCATTCACGCGAATGTATTGAATGTATCCCAGTTGAGTGATCTCTTCATGTAACACAAGTGTTCCTAGAATTTGTTTCGTGGTGAAAGAAAATCTGCATAAAATTCAAGTGAAGTGGAGGAATTCATTATAGATTGAGAGTTCTGCCATCTGAGAGAGACTTGATGCATGAGGCGCGGGCGGAGGCTACGGGATCATTGTTCTTCACCTCCCATATATCTCCCATATATCTCCCATATATCTCCCATATACCTCCCATATATCTCCCATATATCTCCCATATACCTCCCATATATCTCCCATATATCTCCTTCACTACACCCTAGCCTGCAGGCACCTATGGACTGAGGCACTGGCCTGTTTGAACCTGTAGGACCCACCTCTCAGCTCTTGGACCCCGCCTTCCTAGCCGTTGGTTATCTAATGTACTGGTGTCTAACTTAATTTTCGTTTCTGTTTCTTCCTAATGTTTTTTTTCTCTCTCTCTCTTTATCTCTCTCTCTCTCTCTCTCTCTCTCTCTCTCTCTCTCTCTCTCTCTCTCTCTCTCTCTCTCTCTCTCTCTCTCTCTCTCTCTCTCTCTCTCTCTCTCTCTCTCTCTCTCTCTCTCTCTCTCTCTCTCTCTCTCTCTCTCTCTCTCTCTCTCTCATGCCATTATTCTGTATTGCACATCCGCCCAGAATATGAATTTATGTATGTAAATGTTGAAATCAATCTTTCTAAGTGCGGTAATTGTAGGGACAACCATGTAAATTATATTGTAGTGTGAGAGCGCACTTTTTTCTTATATGGTGATATACTTGTTTAAGTACGAAGCCGTGCTATATAGATACTTAGCTTAACATGTGGATTGGGGGTGGGGGGGGGGGGTGTTGTCCTGACATGTGGGTTGGGCACCTGACATGAAAAAGAAGGAGAAAGTTTGAATTTAATTACAAAAAAAATAAGTTAGTGTGTAATTAATCAGGTCTTCCACTCCACACATGCGCCCACACCTGCAGCGCGGCCCTGGCACTCTTTGACTGACAGGGCGAGCAACAGTGAACCCCCCCCCCACCACCAGGTGAGAGCTGCAAGCACGTTGAGGGGGGGGAGGTGTGCAAGCATGTTGCACAGTGATACGTCGTTAGTTGCACAGTGATACGTCGTTAGTTGCATCTCTAGCTTCTCAGGAGCACCAGGTTGTCACAGTTAGGTTAAAGTTAGTCACTTATAGATGGCAGGTGTATTATAATTGTATACGTTAAACTGTTATTGTTGGAGTCTTGCATGGGGGTTTCCGTGAGGTCGTGTTCCTCACTGACCAAGTATACTGTTAGTCCTGAACATTGTCCAGGACTCACGACAGCTCTTGAGTGTATATATATACACCGTGAAACTGGGTATATATATATATATATATATATATATATATATATATATATATATATATATATATATATATATATATATACATACATATATATATATATATATATATATATATATATATATATATATATATATATATATATATATATATATATATATATATATATATATATATATATATATATATATATATATATACCTCTCTCGATGTATATCTCCCTAGAGCCCACCACCTTCTCAGGATCATTCATCCTGCCCACACTGACAAGTTCCAGGATTAATCAAGCATTTATGCAACCACTTACGCAACCTGTACATCTTTCAGTAATCTCGCCGGCTTTATTTACATTTACTAAACAATTTATGATCGTTCGAATCCACATATGCTGAGGGTATTTTTGTCCTCAACAACCTCGGAGCTCATAAAATGTTTAATATATGTAAACAAAGCCGCCACGAAAGAAGAAACATGCACAGGTTTCGCAAGGGGTTGTGTTAATGCTCGATGAATTCTGGGAAAGTGTTCTTCCCACTGGACACATGTATCCCGACCTATATACAGCCCCCCCCTCCCATACAATACCTAGCCTCGGCCAGCCGTCCACAATACATAGCCTCGACCAGACCCCCACAATACCTAGCCTCGACCAGACCCCCACAATACTTAGCCTCGACCACACCCCCACAATACCTAGCCTCGACCAGACCCCCACAATACCTAGCCTCGACCAGACCCTCACAATACCTAGCCTCGCCAGCCGTCCACAATACCTAGCCTCGACCAGACCCCCACAATACCTAGCCTCGACCAGACCCCCATAATACCTAGCCTCGGCCAGACCCCCATTGTACCTAGCCTCGGCCAGCCGTCCACAATACCTAGCCTCGGCCAGACCCCCATTGTACCTAGCCTCGGCCAGCCGTCCACAATACCTAGCCTCGGCCAGACCCCCACAATACCTAGCCTCGGCCAGACCCCCACAATACCTAGCCTCGGCCAGACCCCCACAATACCTAGCCTCGACCAGACCCCCACAATACCTAGCCTCGACCAGACCCCCACAATACCTAGCCTCGACCAGACCCCCACAATACCTAGCCTCGACCAGACCCCCACAATACCTAGCCTCGGCCAGACCCCACAATACCTAGCCTCGGCCAGACCCCCATTGTACCTAGCCTCGGCCAGCCGTCCACAATACCTAGCCTCGGCCAGACCCCCACAATACCTAGCCTCGGCCAGACCCCCACAATACCTAGCCTCGGCCAGCCGTCCACAATACCTAGCCTCGACCAGACCCCCACAATACCTAGCCTCGGCCAGCCGTCCACAATACCTAGCCTCGGCCAGCCGTCCACAATACCTAGCCTCGGCCAGCCGTCCACAATACCTAGCCTCGGCCAGACCCCCACAATACCTAGCCTCGGCCAGCCGTCCACAATACCTAGCCTCGGCCAGACCCCCACAATACCTAGCCTCGGCCAGACCCCCACAATACCTAGCCTCGGCCAGACCCCCACAATACCTAGCCTCGGCCAGCCGTCCACAATACCTAGCCTCGGCCAGACCCCCACAATACCTATCCTCGACCAGACCCCCACAATACCTAGCCTCGGCCAGACCCCCACAATACCTAGCCTCGGCCAGACCCCCACAATACCTATCCTCGACCAGACCCCCACAATACCTAGCCTCGGCCAGACCCCCACAATACCTAGCCTCGGCCAGCTGTCCACAAAGCAGGTCCAGCTCGCGCGAACTCAATACAAGGGATTAGGAGCATAAGTCTCATACCCCCCCTATCCTCCCGCTCTCTAGTCTACAATCACAATCCCTGACTGGAGGTATTATGTTGTACTGAAAGGGGGTGTATTCACTTAGTTGTGTTTGAAGGGTAGAGAGTCTAGGGGGTAGAAATAGCCTAAGCTACTCTATCCCTTTGAGATGTATTTTTTTCTTGTCTCAATAAACTTACTTGAAGGGTCGAGTACCTGTGCTCTGAAGCCCCGCCTTGCCACTTTTTTAGTTCAGTGCCTCGACTCTCACTCGTGTAGCTCTCCATATTTACATTTAAGAGTTGTGCATCGAATTGGCTTCGACAACTTCATCATCTTGTCCGTTCCGCTCATTTACGACTCTTTGAAGGGAAAGTTTCTTCTGGCATCTTTGTAACTCAATTGTGTTTCGGGGTGGGTGTGCGTTCGCGCACGCGCTTGACTGTATATGTTTGCCGGAAACAAGATTTAACTCTTGGGACCCGCCTCTTAGTATCCCGTGTCTAGAAAGATCAATTACCAGCCTTCTTCTGCTTTGTTTTTTCCACATTAAAATGTGTGTGTGTGTGTGTGTGCGTGTGTGCGTGTGTGTGTGTGTGTGTGTGTGTGTGTGTGTGTGTGTGTGTGTGTGTGTGTGTGTGTGTGTGTGTGTGTGTGTGTGTGTGTGGGTGTGTGTGTGTGTGTGCGGATTTGGTCTCCTTCCACAGCCTGGGTAGCATACCCCCAGTTCGTACACTGGCTCCTGCCCTACCTGGCTCCTGACCTACCTGGCCCAGCTCGTACACTGGTGTACGGACCTGGCTCCTGCCCCAGCTCGTACACTGGTCGCCACAACCTTCACCCGCATCACTCTCGTTCTCTTGCAGTATCCACGAAGCATTCCGGCTTTGTGCATTGTCTAAATATCGTGTATGTTGGGGTCATGTCTCCCTCTTTTTGGGTTCAGTGTATGTATAAGTGTAATATTGTGTGTAATATTCAGTGTACGTATTGTGCATATATTTGTATTTTGTAAATTCAAGCAATATGCTTGACCCCTCATGGTCCTGCCATTGAGGGGGGGGGGGCACATTACGAAGTCGGCC